AGGGTCAGGGTTAGGGTAAGCGTTAGGGTAAGGGTCAGGGTTAGGATCAGGGTTTGTCTTCCGATTTCGTATAGACAGTAAAGTTTCGTTTCCACCTCAGAAAGCTGCTAGTCACATGACCTAATCAAAATGGCCGACAAAATGGCGGCGGGTGCTGGCGTGCCTCACCCTTGACGTCCAGCGTGAGCTCGGCGGTGACCCCCGGCTTGTCGGCGTAGATGACCTGGCAAACGTAGCGGCCCGAGTCCGACTCCCGCGTGTTGTTCACGTACAGAGACACGTCCGTGGACGGCATCTTGGACAGGAAGCCGACGCGGCCCTGAAACTGGGGGCTGCTCACCGTCACGCCTCTGTTATAGGTCAGGATCTGGGGAGGAAAAGGAAAGTGGAAAATGACGATCGGCCATTTTGAAAAATATAATGGCTGAGAGGGACATAAAGCACTAGTCTGCCTCTCTAGCTAATCCTGAAACCAGCTATAATTGGGGGGGTGCGGTAGGGCAAATGAAGAACAAACCAGATGTTTCTCTTCTCCCAAACAGATTCAGTTTAAATGGCTCCTCTAAAATGGCTTCTTAAAGGGACACTGCGTGTATTTCATTAGCTAAATTAGCATACATTTTTTTATAAAAGTGTCCTCATTTGGTGTAAAATGACCTCTACAATGATCTGACTTCTCAAATCTCCTTTCAGGAAGCGTAAGTCCACAGAGGTTTCCAGGGTGATCGGCCATTTTGAAAAACTATAATGGCAGAGAGGGACATAAAGCACTAGTCTGCCTCTCTGGCTAATCCTGAAACCAGCTATAATAACCAGCTGATGGAGGCAAATATCTATCCAACGTCCTGATTCAGTTTAAATGGCTCCCTTAAAATGGCTTCTTAAAAAGGGACACTGTGTACTATTTGAAGTATTTTATTAGCTAAAATCATAAATTAGTTTATAAATGTGTCCTCATTTGGTGTAAAATGACCTCTACAATGATCTGACTTCATGTGTGAAGAATTTCCTCTCTGTACGTACACAGGAAGGGTAAATCCACAGAGGTTTCCATGGCGATCGGCCATTTTGAAAAACTACAATGGCAGAGAGGGACATAAAGCACTAGTCTGCCTCTCTAGCTAATCCTAGAGATTTTTTTTTAATGGTGACCAAATCAAAATGGCCGACTTGGACGTGGTAGGAGTTGGATATCCAACCGAGACTCCTACAGACCCCCCCCCCCCCCCCCCGGGTGGAGGGGCCTGGCAGCCGTCCCGGGTCAAAAGAATCAGGTTGGATTTGTAATCCCGACATTTCTGGCCCAGAAGATTGAACATGTTCGGCGTATCTCGGAGTTACACGCTCTCAATTTGAAAAAGTCTTTCCTCTCACTGCACAGTTTCCATCCGTTTGTGGATTCTCACAACAGAGAAAAGACCATTTTTAAACTGGTTCCACCATGGCTGCTCACATGAATCTGGAAGAAGAGTCCGGATTTGTTTCCAGAGAAGAGTCTGAGGAAAACCAAACCTTTTTCAAAGAGAAAACATTAACCCTGTAATGCCAAATGTGTCATATCTGATTTATACGGTTTCTGAAGTCTTTTAGATCTGAAACTTTTTGCATCATTCAGTGGTAAAAGCTTTGCTCAAATCCCTGTTGGACACATATATATAGATATACCTGATAACAGCCAGTAGAAGACTACACCAAAATATATATATTTCATATGTTGTTGAGGGGCCAAAGAAAGACTTCAGACTAAAAAAAATCCAATATTCTTGCTATTTTTCTTGGATCAGACGGGGGAGAACATGGAAATCCCAGATTGTTCCTCTACTAAAGGAAGATCTCGGCCTTCTTACCAGCTGTGTGCCATTCGAGAAGAAGTTCCAGACGATGATGTTTGCGTTCAGGTCCCCGATGAGGTCGGAGAGGTAGGAGGCCCTCAGAACCACCATCTGGCCCTTTATCACCTCCATGCTGCTGTCGGGCATCTGGATATTGGCCCCTGTGCCTGGATTTGGGAAAGAGAGAGGACTACTGTTAATGTCTGGATCTTTAACCAGAACCAGATGAAAGTCAAACATGTTTTTTATTGTTTAAGGTAAGAATAACAGTAACCGATGAGTCTGCATTAATAATCTGAAAATGATGATAATGGCTTTTGAGGCCTCTGGGTTGGGACACAAAGCCTTTTAACTGACAGATATTTTACCCTCACTCATACTATGGTGCATTTAAATGTCCAACAGCAATCTACATGATATTGTATAAAACAACAAACAAAACAACAACATTTCTTTGTATAAAACAATTTAAAACATCATTTAGACCACAAATCCATATGGAAAATTCTTAGTAGCAACAATTTTGCTCTCCGTTTAAATTGTTCTTTAGAAAGATCTGTTAGTGATTTAGGGAGACTGTTCCATATCTTTGATCATCTTCTGTATAACACATAATAATCTCAACATGTAAACGCAGTCTGTGACGACATCTGAAATCTCAAGAAAAGCAACTTTTTGGTCAATTCTACGTTTCCACTCAGCTGTAAACTGAGTTCGGTCCTGGAGTTGATCTCCGAGGATGAAAAACCTGAATGAAAAGCACATGTTTGATTCCAACTGAGTGTGCGGAGGGACAAAAAAGGAGTCTTGGAGACAAAAACTTGCGGCCAGTTTATTTTTTATTTTTTTTATTTTAACTTTTTTTTATAATCTGTTTTTCTTTTTATACTTTTTATTTATTTATACTTTTATTTTATTTTTATTTTTTAATTCATTTGTTTATTAATTTATTTTTTACCTGTGACATTGAGTTTGTATTGACACATTTAATTTGTTCCAACAATGTCTGTCTTATGTTCAAAATGTTCAATAAACAAAGTTTGAAAAATAAATAAATAAAACTTGCGACCAGAAGGGGGCAGCATCGAGCCAGGGCACCACTGTCACACACATTTATCAGGGATTCCTTCTCATTAGAAATAAACCAAACATTTACACCCAGTCATAGTGAGGTAAATCAACTCAGCTCTTCAATGATGGAATATAATAATATAATAATAAACTCAAAGGTCTTTGTTGTTATTGTTATAACTCCTTTTTAACAAATAGACACAGGGGTAAAGAAGATGAAAACGTAGTGACATGTTTCTGGGGCTTTTCTCTCAGAATCCCTCTTTTCTCTCCTCATCTGTGACCTTTTCCACTTTCATCTGCAGTGTTTCTTTAGCCTACATCGCACTTCATCCTTTTAAAAAACAATCTAATCAGCCATTTTGACCACTCACATGTCCTCCCCTCTGAAAACAAAGCCAGACCTGGTTGGGAGTCTCTGTGTGCGACACCCAGGTGAAACCAGGCGGCAAAAAAAGGCAGAAATCCGGCCCTGGGGTGGAGAAGAAAACCCTGTTTTTTTAATAATGAATCCCTCCACATCGGCCCACTTTGAGGCGACGCTCGGCAGAACGTGGCGGTCCCTCCTCATTAGTGACTTCACACCGGTGACACAGTTGTGGTGATAAAACTTTAACTGCTCACGCACGATTACGACATCTCATCGAGTCAACGGATGCTCAGAGTGGCCATATTTCATTATTGTGAGAACGCCTACTGGCATTCTAGCTATTGTTTCCCCGTTTCTCTTTATTGGTCTTTATTCCGTACGTTTTTCTGCATCTAAATACTACTACACCTTTCAGCTGTTTTCAACACATAAGGTATCGACATGTTCAGCTATCTCAGGACTATGGAGCTAGACTTTTGGTGGTCAAATCTTTTAAACTTTAACTTAAGATACAGTGGTCTGCAAAAGTTTGGGCAACCTTGTTAATTTCAATGATTTTCCTTCATAAATCATTGGTTCTTTGGATAAAAAAAATCTGTTAAATATATGATATAGGAGACAAACACAGTGATATTTGAGAAGTGAAACGAAGTTTATTCCATTTACAGGAAGTGTGCAATAATTGTTTTAACAAAATTAGGCATGTGCATAAATTTGGGCACTGTTGTCATTTTACTGATTTCAAAATCTTTAGAACCAATTATTGGAACTCAAAATTGGTTTGGGAAGCTCAGTGACCCCTTGACCTACATACACTAGGCGAACCCAATTATGAGAGAGTATTTAAGGGGGGGCAATTGTAAGTTTCCCTCCTCTGTGAACCTTCTCTGAAGAGTAGCGACATGGGAGTCTCTAAAGAACTGTCACATGACCTGAAAACAACGATTGTTCACCATCATGAATTAGGGGAAGGATACCGAAAGCTGTCTAAGAGATATCAGTTGTCTGTTTCGACAGTTAGGAACATAGTCAGGAAATGGAAGACCACAGGCACAGTTCAAGTTGAGGCTCGAAGTGGCAGACCAACGAAAATTACGGATAAACAGAAGCGAAGAATGGTTATAACAGTCAAAGTCAACCCACAGGCCAGCACCAAAGACATACAACATGATCTTGCTGCAGATGGAGTCATTGTGCATCGTACAACTATTGCGCGCACTTTACACAAGGAGATGCTGATGCTGCAGAAGCCTTTTCTACGCCCACATCACAAACAAAGCCGCTTGAGGTATTCTAAAGCACATTTGGACAAGTTGGAATAAGGTGCTGTGGACTGTTTAAACTAAAATT